ACACAGATCACTGGGGGTGACCTTGAAGAGTATAGTAAGAACCCAGACCTTTCTAATCTCTTTCACATCCTGGCTATAGATGAATGGCTTCCGTGAGCTTCTGCTATGATCTTTCTGACTCACCACAGGCCCAGAAATATAGGAATCATGGAATAAAGTCATGAACCAAAGCAAACCTTTCCTTCTTTGTGGTTGACTTTCTCAGATATTCTGTTACAGTAATAGAAGGCTGACTGCCATAGCCCTTTTTATACGTAAATTTCCAAACTCACTTCTGCCCTCTTGTATGAACTCAAGTTTAACATGACTGTTCCACTTGTTTAAAATTTTTCCAGCCTATCCTCTGGGGGTGGGGGACAAAACCTTAAACACACTGAAATTAGCAGAACAAGCACTCCTTTTACTCATGAAAATGCACTCATTGCCAAAAAAAAAAAAAGTTCTGAAATATATTTAGATAATTTTTCAACCATGTTAACCAATCTATACAAAAAGGGAAGAAATGCATGACTTCCACAAATGACAAATAATTTTGATAACTCATTTAATTTGTTGACCATGATGGTTAAGGAATATGTATTTTTAAAAATAAAACATAGGTATGTATCACATAAAGCATTCTTTAGAAAACAATATTTAAAAATAAAATAAGACAGATAACTGAGCATTGTTTGCCTCATTAGATGACTTCTCTAAAGATGCCTTTATTTAAATAAAATAGTGAATGATTCAACTTAAAGAAGCAGCTACATGAAGAAACAAACTCAATACATGAAGAAAATACACCTGACAAAGTATTTAAGACCTTGCATTTAGCAAGAAGATTTGAGCCAGGATTCCCTAAAGCGCAGTTTTCCAGACAGTCATTAATTTAGCTAATAGGAAAGTACCAGGTGTTCACAGTGATATTATCACTAGAGAAAAGCCTTTATACCCTGGTTGACTAATAAAGACCTCCGTGTCCACATAACTCTTGAATCAGAGTAAGCATGCCCAGAACTGTTTTTAAACACATCGGCTCTTATACAGTCATGTCTCTCTTCTTAAGTAATGATACCCATTTCACATACTGAAAAAAGTTACCCTCAGTATTGTAAGCTCCAAAGTTACAATCCACACATGGAAGAATATCTTCACATTATAGACCGCTTTTAGTGGTACAGCAGAGGAAAGCCTACCTGACTTTCCTCTTGAATTTACAGATGCTAGTCACCACTGGTCTTTTCTTAAAATACCATTGTTTTTCCTGAGAATTTCTAGGTTCCATCTTTGGCTTTTGTAGCATAAATACATTTTATATTTGATCAAGTCAAAAGAATCAGAGGATACACAACAAATGTCTAGAGGACATCACTAGAGAAAGCAAAAGTCTCAGCTCCCTAAAGCCCAATTAATCTAGGCTGTGAATCCCATCCTGAAGGGGAACTTGGGGGAATCTGCACACAATTAGGTTTAACCCAGCAGCAACACAGGAAATACCTATAGATGCAGTGCTAGCAACACCTGCGTGACTTAGCTCAGAGCTCACGACATTTTAGACAATTACACTCCTAAAAATAATCTTTAGTGAAACAAAAGCCAGCTCAAAAGGGTGGAAGGAGACACTAGTGCCCAAACATTAAAACAAATGGCCAAGGGCCATTAGCACCTCACAGCTATGTTTGAGATCTGTAAACGAGTCCCAGGAAGATGGAAAAATGTTGGTGCAATGCTTGCTTCCTTCTGATTTTGTTACTTTTAAACCTTCTTTTCCTCTTTAAATCCCCCTCCCAAACATCCCTGTCTTGTCCAGATCAGTGATTCAGTCATCCATAATCTGGCTCCCTGAGTAACACATCTCTGTCTATTACATCGTGCGTGCACTGGAAACAGATCAAGAAGCTGTGTTGCATTCAAGCCTTTAGCTAAGTGGGCAGCAGCCCTGCCATGCTACCACTTTTAAAGCTGACACTACCAGTTATCTCCTCAAACACTCAAGGGCTCACTGGAGCCAAACAGGATGGCCCTGCAAGGAAGTTCATAGACTGTAAATGTTATGTAGTGTCATAACAAGCAATTATGTGCCAAGACTCTTGGGCTGATTTTAACCACGGAAAGACAACTTGGGAAATATGGTGAGTCCATCCTCGTGAAACCGGAGCTCTGAGGGAGCACAGCATTTAGCACTGCCATTCATAAGTCTTTGGGGAGGAAAATCTGGATCTTCATAAAGCTGAAGATGTTAACAACAGTTTCCCTGCTATAATTCTGGGTTCCAATAAATAGGACCAAAGTCACTACCCAAGGAAACACAGCAGAAAAGTTTACCTCCTATAGCATATCTAGCACTCAAAACAAACAAAGCAGGCTACCATAGAATGATGAAGGATGACTCCAAGACGCACCCCTTCCAACTGCATTATCCTATCTAAATGGCAACATCTCACTGTGTAACACAAAGCAGGAAGGCCAGGCAGCAGAGAAGGGCAGAGATGCTTCTGGAGGACGCAAGAAACATGGCAGCAGCATGTTTACCAAGGTAAACAGAACTGTAAAGCCAGTTCTTGCTTTATTTCTTTTCTCCCTATTTTATCGTAGTTCAACACACTTCAGTTCCTTCCTCCAGTTCTGAGTGTCTCACATATTTAAATCAGAATAAAATAAAAGAAAAAGCTCATTAACAAGGAACTTTCCACTAAAGATTTGTAAAATACACCAAAATGGCAATTTGACAGAGAAGTCATTCCATTCCTGGCTCTCCCGCCATTCAGTTCAGTCACTAACAATAATCTCTAACACTCACAATGTAAGCTTTCCCCAATACCGCTCATTCAATCCTGATGGCAGCTCTGAGGGAAGCAGAGGATTTCCACAGCAACCCAAGGCTGCGCACTCGACTGGCAGAGAACAGAGAAGTTAAATGCAAGCCTCACGGTCAGCCATGTCCCGCCTGTACTTAACCTTACACCTGACATAATAGAAGAGGTCCTTTCTGCTAACACAGCTCAAGTTCTTCCACCTCACATCACATACCCTTCATGTTTTAAAAGGTGACTTTTAGAATGAATCACCATAATGGCTAAGCAGACTGACTGCCTGAACCACCAGCTTGGCTACAAGCCACGGGTCAGATAAAGGGTAAGAAGGCAGTGGTTAGAAGGACAGAGCACTGGCTCAATCTGCTAAATTACAGAAGACCTAACTCAAAGGACTGCTGACATGGAGAACTGGTCTCAGAACAGACTGCCATTTATTAAAGGAGAGCAAGCTACAACTGAGATCAAAGGGAAGGCCTTCTTCTGATTTTTTGGGCAACTAGCTCACTCTGGTGGCGAGAAAACTCAACTACGGAGCCAACAGCTTACCTTGCTAAAACACTGCTGAAATGGGAAAGCAGCTGACCTTTGTGAGCTGACCTTTGTGACCTTGAGGCCTACTTAACATATTATCGTTGACTGCCCAAATGGAGTCAGCAATGCTACATCTGAAAGTCTATTAGCTGGGGAAGGTGTCTAAAGGCTTCTTAAGCACATATCAAATACGACCACAGAATGCACTGAAAACAATGACACATGTATCCATGCTCATAACCAATAGTCTAGATTCGAGTTACAATGGCAATTTTCACTCTGGTAAAAATTAACTAAACTCTACAAAGCTTAACCATAAAAACACTAAATATTACTTAATAGCTATTATATAATAATCACTATAGCCCATGCTAAAAAGAGTGGACAGCAGGTAACTGGACCACTTGAAGACGATTTTTAGGAGTTGATGCAGAAGAGACAGTAGCTACTTCAGTCAGACTGAGTGTAAAAAAGGCTGCTGTACTACCAGTGAGAGCAGTAAACCAAACCCCAAATGACTTCCATTAGTAGAGCCCAAATGTTCTCCAATCATGAAGAAACACTGCCAAGGACAGTAGCCAGTGATTTCCATACACAAGAAAAGTTGAGTGATCTGTGAATGCTCACATGGAAGATTTCCAACTTACACTATAATCCAAAGCAAAAGATGGCAAGAACACAGACACAACACCTTTTCTGTACAGCATCTTAAAAAAAAAATATTTAGATGTGGTGTCTGTACTTTAAACAGATCCAGGCTAGAAATACAGCTCATGGGTAAAGTGGGGTTTGATGGTCAACACAAAAATAAATTAATTTGAAATTAATTTATATTTAATTTCATAATTAAGGAAGGAAAATGTATGTTCCATTTAATATTCTTCAGAATGTATCTTCTTACCTACATATTTCTTTCATTAAATGCTGAAATTTAATTTTAGTATGTAAGGAAAAGCCAAATCACCCTATCCGATAACGTGGAACTCCTGCTCTGATCTAACTGAAACCATCATGACTCTACTATACAGACTTAGAACAACCAGCTTGGGTTAGAGCCAATGATGAGAGCATATGCACCCAAGAAAGGACTCTGGGTAATGCTTTTGTTCACAGTCATCTCTTATGGCTTGAAAGATCCTCACCTCAGTGTTCTCTAGTACAAACTGTTTTACCATGCTCTGGAAGCTACAATGGGAAGACAGCCATGCTGGCTTCCCCATAGCACAACCTGTGAATAAACTGAGGCGGCCACATCCAACGTGCAGTAGAGTGACAGAATGAGCCTGGGTCTCCCTTCCTCAGACCCGTGTGTCCTCAGCAGAGAGGCTCACTTATACCTCTCAAGCAACTATAGATGTTGAATGTGTCAATATCCTAGATTTACTAAAAATAAATAATTAAGAACTTAAGAGGTTTTCACTAGTATAAGGTAAGAATTACTTCGTAAGAATTTCCCATACAAGCTAAATAACTTAGTGTGGAATTCTATGGTGCCTTACAGTTCAAATTTCCCAGCAGAGAAGAGTAAACATGAGGCAGAAGTGGGTCCAAAAATCCCATTTTCACAACGAAAGACAATGAAAATCATATGCCACACAACATGAAAGGCAGTGGTCTGGCACAATGACAAGAATTTTAACATCATAAATGATGTAATTCTGAGTTTCTTACCTAATGCAGCATCAGCTCCTTGCTCTTGGCTCTTTCCCAAAGAGGCCATCATTTCTGCGTGTACATCATTCCACCATGGATTGTACTTCAAAATCTGCTCGACCGCCTCATCTTCAAAGAAGTCAGCTCTGCTCAAAAACAAATGGGCTTGTTACATCAGATTACACTGGTTCTTATTCTTTCTTTCTCTTTCTTTCTTATAATCTTCATTTATCACATTTGCACAGAAATAGATTACATCAATTTAATATAATCTGAGAGAAGACTCAGTATTGTGCTGACTCTCTTTACGGTTACTAATCCCATAAGGCAAAAGGAACCATATCACTAAAGGAACATTAGTCATTTCTGATCTTTTACACAGACGGGTTCTCCAACACTGAGGTCTCATCCTACCTCAGTGGAGATGAAGTGAATCCGAACACTGACTGCACTAACTGATGCTGGGTTTGTGAGTAGCACAGATTTGAGTAATGTTATGGTAAAGGAAAGATCTTTCAGACCCAGTAGCAAAAAAGCAAACAGATGAGCAGGTACTTCAGAACACTACATTTCCATGCAGGACACAAAAAGGCTGAGAACGCACACATACATTCATACTTATACACTCTCACACTGAAACACACAGTTCAGTATGAATTCTTTCTACTAAAATGCTAGTTAGTTTATTTGACTATGCTAACCTTAACGGTTTCTTGATTTAAAATTATTGTAAAAGATGAAAACAACCTTTGTAGAAACCAGAAAACTCCATTCTTTGGGGGTTTTCTGTACTTTCTCAGTTTTAACAAGAAGGATAAAAGGTACATTCAAAATACACCTCTAACTCTTTCTAGTGGACACATTCAGAAATAACGTGATCTTGGCTTCGAATTTGAAGATTAGTATTCTTGGGGACAGTACACCAAAAGTCTAACTTCTTCTGAGGTTTCCATGTGTTTTTCAGTTGAGAGAAACTCAAGGACTCAGTTGCTTTGATAAACACTAATGGTTTAATGACCTCCCACACTTTATTTTTCATCTAAGAAACTGTGATCTTTTTAAAACCAGAAAGACTGCAGATGCCCGCAGAGCTGCTAGTATGCTGCAGGAACCACATCAAGGATTCTGCATTCATGATTCCCTCCACTCCTCCCCACATCACCACCTAAGAAAGATCCTACTAAAACTCTCACTTAACATGGGTGGAAGCTAAGGCCCAGAAGTGATATATCTTGGCCAACATTTAAAAAAACAAAACAGTAAGAAGGCTGGTCAGATGGCTCAGCAGATATATATGTCTGGCCCCAAACCTAAGTATCTGGGTTTAATTGCAGTACTCATATGGCAGAAGAAAAGAACTGACTCCCACAAGTTGTCCTGACTTCCAGATGCATGCTGTGACATGTACAAACCCTACACACCTACATACAGACAAAAAAAATAAGTAAATAAAATTTAATTTAAAAATCGCAAAGCCAGTCATAGCAGTGCATACCATCCAAGCACTTGGGAGCCAGAGGCAGATGAGTTCAAGGCTGGCCTGGTCTACACAGTGAGTTACTGGACAGCAAAATCTATGTAGAGAGACCCTGTTTAAAAAAAACTAATAAAAGTAAACATTTAAGAAACAAACAAAGAAAAGCAGTAAAGTCAGCTAGATGTGAAACATTACAAGTCCTACTCCAGAATCAAATTCCTTACTGAGCACAAGCATTTGAGCTGCAGAATTGGCTCAGTGGTTAAAACACACTCACTGCTTTTGCAGAGAATCAACGTCTGATTGCCAGCCCAATGGTGGCTCGCAAGCATGTATAAATCTATGAGATCCAACACCTTCTGACCTCTGTATACACCAGAAATGTATGCAGTATACATACATGAATACATGTGGTCGAAATAGTCATAAGGATAAAGTTAAATAAAACTTTAAAATTAAAAGTGAAACACAGTTTTTATATACTAGGAAATAAAATACATATTGGACAAAACTGAGTAGCTATATTCTTGAAGCAAAAATTGTCAGTATCCATTTCTGTCAGGTGCACAGGCATACAGGGCTAGGACAAAGCAGCAGCTCACTGAATTAGCCCTGCAGACCTGTTTTCTTATGAAGTGCCCTCTCCTCCTTAGGGAACAGAGACACTTGTTCTGAACAAAGGCTCTGCTATGGATTCACCCACCTATCAGAATGAGCTTATCCTAAGAAATGAGTCTCAAAAAAGTAAGCTGTAAGAGTAAATGTGTTATCCCCTTAAATAACTGACGCGTTAGAAAAAGTTATGGGGTTCACAAGCCCTCCTTGCCGGGTAGGTATAGCCCTTGCCTCCCCTCAAAGAAGCCTTTCTTTGTAGCAGATGGAGAGCATCACAGAAAATCACACCTGGCCAAGATACAGAGAACAATCAATGGTGGGGTGCCTATCCCCAAGGACACAATTATACCTAATAGTCAGGAACATGCTAAAGAGAAAGTAGAATGATTAAGAGTCTGTTGCGATTTGTGTCTCATAGAAATGGCAGGAAGCTACATTCATGACAATATAACAATATGGCTGCCTAAACAAGACCTAGACAATGACAACACTAAGAAACACACTAAAGTGAAAAAGGCAAATCTCAAGGGGTCCCACCCCTAGACAAGGAACTACAGGCAATTAATGACTCCTGGGAAAGGGAAAATTAGTCTTCCCCAGGGATGAGTTCCCTAATTGGCGATCCAATATAAAATGATCAGCCCTAAAATCACATACATAAAAGCAACACTAGACAAACTCAACAGGCTGTGAGCGTGTGTGTGCGCACGCGCATGTGTTTATGTACATAACAATAATAATCGAAGAAAAAAGAAAAAGAGGTCATAAATTGAGAGAGTAAGAGTAGGGGTATAGATGTTAAGAGAGAAAAGGCAAGGGAAGGGGTAGAGGAAGAAAAGGAAAGGAGGTAATGATATAATTATATTTTAGTTAAATTTTTTAAAATTACCAAGAAAAAATGTAATGACTTTGTGTCATAGTCTAACTTCCATGTTAGGCACTAGGTTTCCTCTGGTCACTGGACACAGACTACCCCTGGCCCTCGTGTAATATACAGTTCCACCAGAGACTCAAGTATGGCCGAAGGCTGTGACACAGCACCATAAAATCCTAAGGCAACACAAAACTGACGTGACATTCGAGGACCTTGAAAGAAATACTATTCAACCAGCAGCTGAAAGACAATTAAGAATTCACATGAAGAGGGTTGAGAGTTGCTGGGAAGATGGCTCCACGGTTAACAACAGGCACTGCCTGTACAAAGGACCTGACTTTGGTTCTCAGGCTCCACACTACACTGTTCACAACCAGCTAGATGGAACTCCAGCTCTCAGGATCCGGCTCCCTCCTCTGGCCTCCGCAGGTACTGCATTCCTCTGCATATTCCACACATCACATAGATGCATAATTTAAGCTGGAAAATAAAATCTTAAAAATAAGAGGCTTAGGAGAGAGTAGCCTCAGTTCAAAGAATAGCAAAACTAAAAAACAAGACCCACATTGAAGAAACAATTGCGAAGATAAATTAAAAATAAGATACTGGTAACAGCAGCCTGCTAGGCACATCTGACCCACGGCCTACAGGCTGCTTACACCCCAGACTAGCAATCAATCCAACCAAAAACAATGTAATGTAAATATACTTTATATACATATACATATAAATACACACACATGTGCATGCACACACACATACACACACGCCCCTCAATTGCCTGATTCTTGACTATGAACTTTGTAGATGACAAGATCAAGATAAAAGATTGGACACACCTGAAAGCCATACTAGAATTACCCTGAGGTCACTGAACAAAAGGCCACGCATCTTAGAGGATCGCTCCTAAACTGTGTCAGAATAGGATGGTGGCAGAGAAGAGGGAGCAAAGTAGGTTGATCTGACCTATAGTTAGAAGACAGCATCCTCAAGAAGTAGCAGCTCAGGAACTGTGAGCATTAATGGCCAGGACTATGGCTCAACAACAGGGTCATCGGTGCCCTCCACAGAGACAATGCTATAGGAGATGGAAAGACATGAGGAGAGGGAGAATAGTTTCTGCGTAAGACAGGTTAAGTTTGGTGTATCCAGTGACACAGCTATCCAAAGAGCAACTGGACACACAAATCTGATACTCAAGAGGCAAAGTCATAAGCGACCAAGGAAGAGGGGAAAATCATGCAGGAAGAACTGGTCCTGTGAGAGACTAGCACAGGAAAGCACTGAGGACAGACGCACAGGGCAAGAAACAACATGGAGAGGGGACTCATAACAGAAAAAGCAAAATAGCTTGGTAGAATGGCACCCCAACCATTTCCACTCCATCCTTCTGCTCAAAATAAAACTCTCCAAAATGATGAACTAATTTTTTAATATGAATTCTCAGATAACATTCCAATAATCTAACCTGTGATTGGGTTATTCTCTGTCTTCCATTTTTGTAGTGTACTGGAGATTGAATCTCATGTTTCACACATGTTGGGCAAGTGTTCTATCACTAAGCTACATCCCTAGCCTGCTTTTTATTTTTCTTTCTGAGACAATCTCACTAAGTTGCCTAGGCTGGCTTTGAACTCATGCAATAGCTTAGGCTGGCCTTGAACTTGTGATCTTCTCTAAACCTTAAACTTGCATCTTCATTGCCCTCACTAGCCTCCAGCATACCTAGGACTGTAAGCCTGCACCATCAGGCCCAGTTAATGGCTCATTCTTTACACTGTCTATGAATTAAAAGTTACAGGAACATGATTTGTGACTAGCCACCTGCTTTCCACAACCAATTATTTTCATGTTTTTAAAAGCTACTGCATTCACTGAATGTTCTCCACACACATAGCAACAGGACCAACAACCTGCCATGAGGGCTCCACAATTTAACCAGAACCATGGACACACTACAGAGGTTTAGAACACCACATAGTAAAGGGAGAGAGAGAAATGCTACAAAGTGAAGCACTAAGGAGGGCATCCCTACCCAGCCAAAGGTGGAAGGTCTGTGGAAGTGATGTCTGAGCACAGCCTCAAAGGTCAGCTATTCTTGAAATGAGACAGAGAAGAAAAAGCTAGAAAGCGCCAGCACGTGTGACAGAGCACATGAGAAGCAGAGGAAATGCAAGTGTCCGCTGCTGCCGCAGAATAGGGCATGAGCAAGGAGGGGCAAAAGTGAACTGCCAGAGGCAGCACAGAGAACACGTGTTGTCTCCAAGCACGGGTGGAGGCAGCTTTCACTTGAGAGCATCAGCCAGCATGCTGCTGGCCTCACAGCTGATGGGCCTGATGAAGTCCACACTGAAGGCTGTGAGGCCGCTTACATGGCTACAAGAAGTGTAAGAAGTGGGCCAGAGATACCTGAAATCACAGAGGTAAGTGGCACAGCTTTAGGACTGACTGACTGTGGGACAAAGAAGCCAAAGACAAACCGTAGCTTGCTTGCTTTCTCTCTCTTCTTTCTCTTTCTTTCTTTCCTTTCCTTCTTTCTTTCTCCTTCCTTCCTTCCTTCCTTCCTTCCTTCCTTCCTTCCTTCCTTCCTTCCTTCCTTCCTTCCTTCCTTCCTTCCTTCCTTCCTTCCTTCTTTTTTTAATTTTTTTTTCAAGACAGGGTCAGAACTACAGAACTACAGCCATGTAGCTCTGGCTGTCCTGGAACTCACTAGATAGACCAGGCTGGCCTTAAACTCAAAGAGATTCACCTGCCTCTGCCTCCCAAGTGCTAGCATTCAAGACATGTGCCAACCCATTCTAACCCAAGTGACAGTAGAGAAAATGAGGGCACTGGGCCATCTGAACATGTTGAAGCAGAGAAGTCACTAGGAGGCCCAGCCACTCTGTAAACCCTGAAATTGCTTCTTCATAGTCCTCCACCAGATATGCCACCTGCTTCCCCTGCTGGAATGAAAGTGACATGAGTGTGGATCTGTCACATTCACACGCTGGTCTTAAAATCTTCAGGATGGCAAAGAGGAAACTCAAACAAAAGAACAAGACTGATGTTTTATCAAATACTTCTTCCTATGCTTGGAGTTTTAAACAGAAAGCCATCCCTTCCAACCTCCCAAATCCTAGCTACAATCTAATTACAAAAAAAAAAAGAGAAAGAGATCCATGTATCAACCTCTTTAACAAACTCCTAATAATGAAAATCTACCACAACTTAAAATAGAATTCCAAAAAAGGCTTGATCATTTTTGTTTTTTTACTATCTCACAGATGTTTAAAATGTTGATTAAATCCTCCTGTTCTCACCAAAGAAATTTTATAAATTGGTTGTGATATATATTTTCCCCCAAGAATAAAAAACAAATGTAGGAAGAAAGAAAAGCGATTATCCTTAGGAAAAGAAATAAAACAACTTAGACATACATAAAGGTGAAAGATTACTATGGAATATTTCAAGATGCTGTCTACAGATTTTAGTGTAAAAATAACATACAAACCAGCAAATGACTCACAGGTAAAAGCACTAGGAGAGAGGACCATAACCTGAAAAAGTCATCTTATTTCCACACATGATGACATGGTACACAGCTTCACTCACACACACAAGTGATAATATAGAAACAATATTTTAGATTTCTAAAATGATATCCAAAAGAAACGAATGGACCAATAATAAGGACCAATGAGATTTACAGATCAGCATGTACAGTACTTCCTCAGGCTGTAAGACATACTAAAAGAATCAAACCACATCAGATCCCAAATTTACAACAGATTTCAAAACGGTCATAAACCCAAAGCAGCTAGATTTTACTTTGAAATGCATCAATTCCCCTTTATAGGCAGTTGGTTTTGCTCTGTCCTTTTAGGATAAAATCACGTTTGTTTTCTTCAAGTCCTTTCAAAAGGACATCACCACCCCTCTGAGAACCATTCCTCAAGAAATGGCATGAACATTCCATGCAGACTCTTAAAGGGCAGTGGGCAGAGGCACTTGCCAAGCCTGACAACTTCAGTCCAATCCCTGGAGCCCACAGGGAGGGAGATTCAAGCCCTGGAAGTCGCTCTCTGATCTTCACATGAGTTATGACACCTGTACACGCTCTCTCCCTCCCTCCCTCTCCACCTCTCAACTAATTAACGACTTTAGTTTAAAATGTTTTAAATAAAATAAGAAGTACACAGAGATGGAGGGAAACAGGGGCTGCTTAGACTATCTTGCTGCCAACTACAAATTTCAATATCCTCATCCTCTCAGGTCTGTGAGGCCAGAAAGCTGTGCAACCCGGGACACAGTCCCGAACAAGAGCAAAGTCGAGATGCGTGCAAACCCTGAAAATCCCAACCTGAGACCAACAGGAATAGGACTGCCTCCTCCACGTTTTGGGCCTTCACATCCTGGTGCAAGGTGGAGCAAGTAAGCCTTTATGAGCCCCGCCTCTGCTACCCTTGAGGTAGTCACGTTGCCTGGTGGCCAGGTTTCAGGTTAAACTTCCTCTCTCCGTATAGGAACAAATCCAGCTAGTAGCTGGAATTCTTCTTCACGAAAATGAAGCATCTCCAGCACCTTGGCCTCAGCCAATAATGTACATTCAGTCCTAAAAACCCACTCCCCAAGGTTTATACAGGCCTTATTCACGCCCAATAAGAGAGCTGTTTCACTGAAAACTGTCTACAGAGAAGGTTTTCTCCTACACTCATGCCTACTGAGATCATGACTAACCCATCCGCCCCAGCTCCACTCCCTACAGTCCAGTGTCCGGTGTCTGGAAACCCCAAGAGGAAAAGCAGACCCAGGCGACACAGGTCATAAACGTTCTGGACAGTTCTTCTAATTAAGCTCCCTCCCACTTGAAATTTCAGCCTTGGAAAGCTCATTCTGTTTTCATACTGGCTGAGAAATTTGCTGACAATGAAATTTCTACTTTAAATATTCAGCATGATTCTAAATGGGTTTCTTCAAATTACTCTTCAGTGGACCTTTAAAACCACCATTGAAGAGATAAAAGTAATTAGAAATGGCAGTCTAAATGGAGCTGAATCTCTCAGATGTCCTCCACAGTGCAACACAGCCCACTCTTCCCTGGCTTCCCTTAGGATGTTCAACAGTTCAGCCATTCATCCCCACACATCACTCATTCCATTTGCACATCACAAGACTCACTTCTGCTATTCCAATTAGTGTCCCACTGGGTCACAGGAGAGAGAGTGTTAATCACAAGAGCAATGGCAGTTAAAATGGAATAGTGTACATAAAAAGGAAATGCAGAGTGGAAAGTGGAGCTTCTTTTCAAGTCCTACCCAACCCATTTAACAGTGGTACAACCTTGAACAAGTCCCTTCACCTCTTTCCCTCCTTAGAAATGTGCCTAAGGGTGGGGGAGGGGGGACCTGATAAGCTGAAAACACTGTATACGGAAAGTGTGATTATGGCTATATTGGTAACACCTTGAAATCACTGGCCCAAAGCCTGGGAAAAAAATAATAAATGAGGGCTACATCAACATATGAATTATACCCATTCTCCACATACCCTCAAAGAGCCAGGTATTCAGAGGCCCAGTGAAAATGCAAAAAAAAAGTGCTGCTGTCTTGGCCAGTAAGAGACAGCACATCTCTGCTTTATTAAGTTGCTTACCCAAATATAGTTCTGATTACAGCAAAGGATACAACCGATGCAGGTGGGGAATACATAACAATTGTGAGTAGGTTCTACTGATCCTCTACCACAAAGGATAACTATCTACTCACTGCAACTGGTGGCAGACAAAAGTTCTAGGAAGGTCCTGGACTAGCAAGAAATACAGCATGTGTAGATCTGGATTCTTATGGAAATCAAGATATATTCACTTATATACACATATAACCACAACAGAAGTTCTACTTGAAAGAAGTACAAACAAATACTCTTCTGAGATTTTAAGCCTAGTGAGGAAGACACTAAAGCAGTGGTTCTCAACCTTCCTAATGCTGAGAGCATTTAATACAGTTCCTCCTGTTGTGGTATCCCTCAACCATAACATTATTTTCATTGCTACTTTATAACTGTAATTTTGTTACTGTTATGGATTGTAATATAAGTAATCTGATATGTAGCATACCTGATATGCAACCCCCAAAGGGATTGTGACTCACAGGATTTATTAAGAGTTCCCCATTGCTGAGCTGGGCGTGGTATCGAATGCCTATAATCCCAACACTCAGGGAGGCAGAGGCAGGTGGTCCGATGCCAGCCTGGTCAGCAAAGGGAGTCCAGGACAGCCAAGGCTACACAGAGAAACCCTGTCTCGAAAAAACAAAACAAAGAGTTCTCCATTGCTAGTATAAACTAAGTCGTGCATTTACAAAGGCCACATAAGTAAATCCATTACAGGCTAGGTGAAATGTCAATTAGGGTTAGTGCCTTCACTAATTCCAAGATCTAAAACATATGTCTAGTACATTGAGGGGCCTGGGAGATGGCTCACTCAGTAGAATGCCTGCCATGCAAACACGAGGACTTGAGTTCAGATCCCCAGCAACTACCCAGAAAGCCAGGCATGGCAGTTATGTCTGTAGCCCAGTACAGGGAAAATGGAGATAGGCAAAGTCTTCAGGCTCACTGGCAGCCTGGGCATCTGGCAGCTGGGCAGCCAGCCTAGCCGAGTGGGTGAGCTCTGGATTTAGTGAAAGACCCTTTCCAGGGAAATAAAGCAAGGAGTGATTGCAGAAGTCACCCACTGTGGAGGACTGGCCTCCACATGTACATGCAAACTTAACTATACAAACAAATACACATATACATATATCTATACTCAAAGATTCTGAAAAAAATTTACTATAAAGTAACTTATTTAATTAATAACTTATTGATTATTTAATTATTTAACTGTCACAAAAGTTCATACTCACAGATAATGATCTGGATCAAATTTAGCCAGCTCAGCAGCAAGGCGTTTCTGCCTTCGTTCAGTTGCAGGAGTGAAATCTGGATCCTTAATATCAATAACCTCATTCAGCTCATCCTGAAAACACCAGAACAAGAATGAACACTAGCTCCAAGTTTTAACATTTAAAAAACAGAAGGAAAGGAGGCGGACCAGCAGAGAGGGAAGAATATACCTGATCACTAACATGTGAGACCACTTGTAATGTATAAACTCAGATCTAACAAACATTTAAGATAGGTGAGGTGGAGCATGCCTTTGCTCCTAGTACTTGGGAAGCAGAGGTTGGTAGATCTCTCTGAGTTCAAGGCCTATCTGTTCTACACAGCAAGTTCTAAGGCAGCCTACACAGTGAGACCTTGTCTCAAAATAAAGCAAACAAACAAAAAACACAATCAAGCAAACAAATAAAAAAACCACAAATGTTTCAATCTACTCTTCAGTGGACTCTGCTCGAAATTTTCACATAAATCATTTCATTTAACCCATAAAATAAACTGACTGGTATATATTAAGGCTATTAACGATTAACCCAAAAGGTCATGGGTGCTTGCCACCAAGACTGGCTGTGTTCAATCTCTGGAACCTATACAGTAAAGGTAGAAACAACTCCCAGAAGTCATCATGATTCCACATACATGCTGTTTCAGGAACAGGTACACAGGTACACACACATACATATACATTTATCTTAAAAAAAGTTTTTTTGGGGGGATGCAACCTTGCCAGGCCACAGAGGAAGACAACCCAGCTAGTCCTGATGAGAACTGATAAGCTAGGGTCAGAGAGAAGGGGAAGAGGCCCTCCCCTATCAGTGGACTAGGGGAAGGAGCATAGGGGAGAAGAGGGAGGAAGGGTGGGATTGAGAGGGGCTGAGGGAGGGGGTTACAGCTGGAATACAAAGTGAATAAATTGTAATAAATGATAATAAAAAGAAAAAAACTTTTGACACACACACAAAAAAGAATTGAATAAACCTGAAAAGCATGAAGGAACATTTAATTTTCCATTCATTTCCCTGTTTAGCCCTAGAGATCTGAAAGTTCCTGAAGATGGGAGGGTCTGGGGCTGGAGAGACAGCTTAGAGGTTAAGAGCACTGTCTGCTCTTCCAGAGGTCCTGAGTTCAATTCCCAGCAACGACATGGTGGCTCATAACCACCTATAATGAGATCTGGTATCCTCTTCTGGCCTGAAGGCAAAACATTGCATACATAATAAATAAATCTTAAAAAGAAAGAAAATATAGGAGGATGTGAGTATCAGACATCTACAGAGAGACTTGCCTTTCTTCCTACTGTCTAGCTCAGCTGGTCTCAAAGAAAAATCACAACAGACTATGCAAATGAAGCTCTCTACTTTGTAAATGTGCTTGTCATGCAGGCTTAATGACCTGAGTTTAATTCCTGGAAGCCACATAAATAGATGAAGAAAACAATTCCACGAAGCTGTTTCACACAGGCACACATTAATTAAAAAAAAAAAATTAAAGAGTAATTCTGATGGCTATGACTTTCCATTTGATATTTTAAAAATCTTATCCTAAGAATCACCCTTACTGTTACTGTCTTAACCAAGATGTGCACACATAAACATGAAGCATGTTTCCCAAGCAGAATTCTACAGAACGAACATTCACAGAAATCATGAAGTGATGGAACCTCATACAGTCCAAAATATTCCCAAAACTGTGGCTTTCTTTTCTGTCTACTCCACATCTACTATCCACTCCAGGTCTGAGTCCAGAACTGGATTAAACACAAAGATCTAAGCGGGAAGAAACTAAGCAGTAACTTGGGGAGTGTTGTGCATTCACACTGTGAAGAAGGATTTGTAAATGGAATGGACAGCAGTAAACTGAAACAAACACGTGAAAAAAACAAGAGTAGCAAAGAAGAGTTGTTTTTGAAGTTAGTAGTCATAGGACCTTCAGCGAGCCCCTCCACTTCTTTCCTTGTGTCACAGAAAGAAAGAAGGAAAATTCATATGGGAGCACTTTAAGGCTGACAGATGCAAGACTATGAAAACTACAGTAAGTATGGGAGTCATAAGGGAACAGCCTCCCTACGTAACCAAAATTTCCAAATTTGAAAAAAAAAAAAAAAAAAAAAAGGTCTTGGCCCAGAGAAATGGCTCAGTGGGTAAACTGAGTTCAAGCCCCACAACCCACATAGTGGAGGGAGAGAACTGACACCCAATAGCTGACCTCTGACCTTTACCGGTACACGAAGGCATGCATGCACACAGGCACACGCTCACACAAAATAAACGAATATATGCAATTTTAAATTGAAATAAATTCTTTCTTTCTTACCACAAAGCATGTACGTCTTAACCTTAGTACATTTAAATATAACAAAGGGATCCACTGACCTTTTTGGAAGCCACTAGATCAACTAAAATATTAATATTTTCAAACACAAACATCTGAGGCAACAGCCAGACTAACGGCTGTCCACAAACATAAAATTTACATTCCAAAGTTCCTTTGCAATTTATTTTTTGGAGACTTGGAATGCATTTTCCTACAGAAATCCCATTATAAATAGTAGTTAAGAGTCTCAGGGCAGCCCTCAAGTTTATGCAACTCATAACAAATTGGAACAGAACATTCACGATGCAAAAAGCTTAACAAGCATGCAGCAATGTTTCCATGGGAAACGCTTGCTGTCTCTGGTATTGAATCCACCAGAACGTCTCCTCTCGAGCAGTGAGGCATCAGTGCTCCTGCTCTCTGTCTCCTCACTGACATTAACTCCAGCCACAGGCTAGGGCACAGGTGGGCAATGGCCTCAGGAGGGGACTCAGTCCAATGAATTCCAGGGCTTGCCTTGGTGGAATACTACCATAGAGCCACTTCCTTTCCTTGGACTGCAAATCCACAGAATGATGCCATCCCTCCCTCAGCTCCTCTCACCACATGGCCTTTTCTCCTCCCTGTGTGATTAGAGTGGGCCCACGTACAAAACCCGTATCGATACCATCTTTAATCACAGTTGCCAAGTACTTCTCCATGTGTGATGTAAAATCTTCACAGAACAGGCAGCCACATAGATGCCTTTATGTTTTCCTTTGGGAAAGGGGAAGCACTGGTGCCACAAGCTATTATAAGAATTAAGTGATACAATACAGGGCTAAATATACTTACTTCTTTTCCCCTCTGTCTCTGTTTCATGGCTGTTCCCTGTTATTGACTTCCTACTGAGAAGACAAATCCTCCTTCCACTCAGCTTCCCTATATGCTAACAGCAATTAAAGTATGAGTGTGTACTGGGGGTAAAGGGTGAGGGGTAAGCCGGACAATTAATTATTGCATGAGCACAGACTTAAGGTCATGAATGGGCTATACTCAGTGAGGACTGACAGAAAACTCTGGATTTCAGAGGGTAAGTGGACTCTGCATCGTGAAGCCAGGCTTGCCTTTCAAACTGATGTCAGCCTTTCCCTGTGACCCAAGTCCACTAGAGCCACATACTAGATTCCTTTCCATTTATGGAACATACCCCTCAGTTTCCGTCTCAGCATAACCCGATGTGTGTCACATCCTATAAGAGGCCACCTCTGGACACCCTAGTCTGAACAGTCCCCAGTCTCATATACCACCATCTTCTTCTAGCTGTTACTATCGCCATTAGCTTATTCATCTGCGGTCTACTTGATGACTGTCTGTCTGCCCACAGAATGTTTCATGAGGTGGGGGTCTGGACTGCCTTCTTTTTCACTGCACTCTCAGCATGTGTGCTGGTTAATTCCGTCAGAGGAGGGAACCTCAATAGAGAAAATGCCTCCACAAAACTGGGCTGTAGGCAAGCCTAGAGGGCATTTTCATAATTAGTGACTGAATGGAAGAGGACCTGGCCCTTTGTGGGCGGTGCTATCCCTGGGCTGTGGTCCTGAGTTCTCTTAAAAAAGGAGGCTGAGAAGCCATGAGGAACAAGCCAGTAACACATCTCCATGGCCTCGGCTCCTGACTCCAAGTCCCTACCTTGTTTGAGTTCCTGTCCTGACTTCCTTCAATGATGGACTAAGATGTGGAAGTATAAGACAAATAAACCATTTCCTCCCCAGCTTGCTTTTGGTCACGGTGTTTCATCACAGTAATAGTAACCCTAACTAGGGCAGAGAGCCTGGCAGTCAGAAGGAAATCATTACCGAGTGCGTAGTGCACAGAGGCCGGGGACTGGTCTGGTTGCTGGAATAGAGACCCAGTATTGAGCACACAGACAGTTCCCAATCTCATGGGATGAAATGGAAAAGAAGACAGCAACTCTTTTCAGCCCCGTTGACACTCCCCTCTAGTCTCCTGAATCAAGGCCACCACAGCAATGCAGCAGATAGGGCACACCACAGGACTATTCCCAGTTGGGCAAACTTCTTTTTCTGTACACATGCATACACTGCTAAAACTGGACCCTAGTTAAAAAAAAAAAAAAAAAAAAAAAGCCACAGCAACCTAAAAAGCAAAGGGCCTTCATGAGCTTTGCACATTTACTTGTTCCCCATCCAGCACCATGCTCTGGGGAGGTTCCAACCTTTAGGTGAGGCTTTGCTGCAGAAGTAGGTCACTGGGCCAGGTCTTCTGGGCTTCCTCTCCCTGTCTACTTCCTGTCTTACACAGCCTCCTGGCCCTCTGCGATGTGAGCAGCCTCTGCCACAGGTGCTCATCGCCATGAATGAGTTGCTGTGGCATGCCTTCCCTATCACGATGGACAGAAGACATGAAGCAAAGTCTTTCCTCATGGAAATTACTTCTGTAAGGTTCTGTAATAGGAGCAATGGAAAGCTAATGCACAAAGTTAGACGGGACTCTAATGTAAGACATGGATGGAGGCACTGCTCAGTGGTAGAATACTTTCTTAGCATGCACTTGGTCCTACATTCGCTCCTCAGCACCACAAAAGAAGAAAAAGTCCGAAGCATCAATCAACCAAAGGAAAGGAGGAAAAGAAAGTTCGGCAGGAAGAAAAGTATTCCTTTCTGTTTTAGAATAGCTGTGGTCACTAGTCCCCTCAGCAATCTGAAGATGAACACTGACAGGAAAAGGTCATGGAGGATTTAAGCCAAGCTTGGGTACATTTACATCACAGATCAAACAGGACCCAATCTGGAAAGAGAATGAACTGTATTCACATCTGGACAATGTGTCTCCCAGAGACAAAGGCCTCTGGTCCCTGAAGCAGCCAAAGGAAAGCAAGGGCCAGAAGGCTTGGCATCCTGTAACTGAGGCTGTCCCAGGAGCTGGCGGGGGTGGCGCCCAGAGACTCCAGGATTGTGGCTGCTGGCAGCCACTAGTGCCAACAGCTTGTTGTGCAGCCCTGACTCTGAGCTGCCAGGGCAGTTTTCCAAAGGCACCCTGGTGGCTGGCAGAGATTTCAAAAAAAAAGGAGAGAAAGCGGGTGTGTATGTGTCCATGGAAAGTGGGGAGGAGGGGAGGGGGAGGGGAGTGGTGGGTAGAGGAATCAGGGTTAATGAAAGAGAATTTGCTTCAGCAAAATATTTTCATTATCAGATAAAATACAGAAGTTTGCAAACAAATCTGTTTAAAGGGGAACAGGATTATGTTTTTATAGAGAGTTAAATTATTCATTGAAGACATTATCTGGGTGTGGGGAACACTATTTTTTATTTACTTTTTTTATGAGTACACTGCTTTTATCCTCAGAGAAAATAATACTATTTTTATTTAAAAAGAGTGGAGAAATACCGGCAAAATACTAGGGAATAAATGTTTTGGATGAGTCTTGATACAAAGGCAGAAACTTGAGAAACTAAAATTGTGAGAAAGCATAATACTAGAAAAGCCATTTTAAAAAAATTTATATGAGACAACTGTTCTGAATCCTCCTACTTGTAATAATAACCTCTTCTAGGAGCGTCTATAGCTTCTTCACTAGAAGAAAAAGGGTAACACTGCTAATATTACATGTCACTTTTTAGCCACTTGATGTGACTGTCGCAAACAGAAAAGCTGTCAACACAGAACACTGCAAGTATTAAATTCTGAGACAACATACCGCCCTTACTATCTTCTAAAAGTCTGACTAAGCCTAAATGTTACGGAGAACACCATAACCCTCAAGTCTAATTCATGTAAGAATACTCCGTTTCTTTAAAGCTTTTTATGGGTTTGTCTCCTGGTAAAAAGTGCTCACCCGATAGTAAAGAAGTCACGAGGAAGCAGTATTGTCAGGCTGACTCACACAGTGCTCACAACAGCTCCATGTTAATTCCCTGACTTGGGGGCTTCAGGCTTTGGACTGAAGGTATTCGAGAACACACACTGTTGTATTCACACTGTGTGTTAGAAGGCTGGGGCTGCACACTAGCCAAGCACAGTACTACTTCTACAGTAATAATTCAGACATACACACTAGGTATGTACTTTAAAACAGCTTGAAAAACGTGCTGGGGGCTGTGGAGATGGCTCAGTTGTTAAAGCGCTTGCCATGTGTGGTAGTTTGAATGGCAAATGTCCCCCCAGGCTTACATATGAACTCTTGGTCAACAACTGGTAGCGCTGTCTGGTTAGGTTCTGCACCTTAGGATGTGGAGGTAACTTTGAGAGTGTCCAGCTTCTTCCCACTCCTAGTTCCCTCTCTCTGCTTCCTGTTTGTGAATAAAAATGTAACCACGCAGCCTCCTGTTCCTGCCACCAGGCCATGCCTTCCCCATCATCAAAGACCCTCACTCTAGAACCATGAGTCCAAATAAACGCATTCTTTCCTAAGTTGCCTTTGGTCGTGGTATTTTTTCACAGCAACAGAAGCCATGATAGGCTGAAAACCTGAGTTTGATCCCTGAAACCCATGGTATAAGGAGAAAAATCAATCCAGAAAGTTATCTCCTGTCCTCTGCATACATGCTGTAGCACAAACACACTTACAGCTCACATGCATGGTCATACACATGTACACAAGCACAATGATAATACATTTTAAAATTAAATAATTTAAAACATATTGGGAGAGCCAGCCAATGATGACTCATTCCTGCCATCTAATCACTAAGAATACTGAGACAGGAGGATCACCAAAAGTTCAAGCCAGCCTGATTTACATACTGAGTTCCAGGCCAGCCTGGGCTATAAATAAGAACCTGTTTCCAAAAAATGAAAGAAAAACCAGAACAAAGACCTATGTTGTTTCAGATAAAGTTCTGGTGCCAAATTAAACGCAGTTGTAAACTGGGTGTGCACAGAGCATCTGGGACACCAGTGCTCTGTGCACAGGGTAGCAAGCCTCGACTGCTCACAGGACACAACTGAAACTATAAAACCCTTGGAATCCACTCACTTATGTGGTCTCTTCTTTCTAAATTGAGGGAATGGGGGCTCATTTTTTTTTTTTTTTTTTTTTTAGAAAAGCAATATTCATTCTATTAAAGTTTGAAAAAGGGTTTAGCAAGTTTAGATAACTGGGCTAAATAAACTAAGCATTTCTGACTGAGAAGGAGAAGATGTAATCATAAAGGGATAGACAGGGCATCCTAACTACGGTGGCATCTTATTTTCTAAGCTGAGTGCTTGGTATTTAGGTACCTGATGCCTTAGCCACACTATTCAGAAAGACACAGAGTGCTACCTACATGCATGCTCTGAAATAACCTGTTATTGCAAGAGTCTACATAACTTTTATGTTTCAAAGTACCACTTTTTACAATAAAAGTTAGGTGTAGCGTTATATATCTGTGCTTCTGAGACTTGAGAAGAGGAGGCAAGGGAATGAGGAGTTCAAGGCCAGCTGAAGCTACATAGTGAGTTCCAGTGCAGCCAGGATAAATTAAGATACTGTATCAAAAACCAAAAAGAGTATTCCATGACAATGTTGTTCTAAAAAGCAACATAAATTACTTATATAAGATTTTTCAATAAATACAAAACTTCTGAACGTAAAAGGACCTAGCCTTACCTGAACTATAGACTTCCAGCATCCTCTAAACAAGAAGCCCTTCAAAGTGGCCACACTTAGCACGTGTGGGAAGTGGAGGCAAGAAGATACTGAGTTCAAGGCCAACTACGTGGTAAGACTCTGTCTCCAGACTCCAAAGCAAGGAAGCAAGGCCTCAAAGGAACCTTCCCTAACAGCAATCTGGACAGGATGTTGTGGACATCTGGACACTTTTAACCTGAATGGAGATTCTGGACTTAGCCACTTTGACATTAATTACCCTTCATTCATAGCTCTGGATAGGCCAGCCCTAAATAAAGTGACCACTAACTAGTTCTTGGCCAAATAACAGAGACCCAGTAGCTGCAGTGTCTGCCACAGCTGCCACTGTTCTAAGCACCCCAGAGATGACCAGGAAAACAAGGGACAGGAGCAGAAGGAACACAGGCAGACCATGCTCTGTAGAAAAGTGCCTGAGCTTTTACATGGACATGTTCTACCACGTTATTTGCTGCTAAGTAAACGCCAATTTTGTACTTTTGCAGAAATCTTGAGAGTAATTTCAGTGTTTCATAGGCAGGAATCTTTATAGTGTCCTACACTTTTCAGAATTTTCTCTTAGGTTTGTAGTATCTCATGAAATTTTTCATGATAAATTTACAAAGTAGGTAAGCAAAAATCATTCCCACTTTACCAAGAGAGAGCTAGTTACATGTGGCCAGTGGTCACCACAGCATCACAAACATAAGCAGAGGCACAAGTATGCACAGAATGTCAACACTTGACTTTTTCTTGAGAAACTCAAGGTACATCTTACTATCTAAGCATTGCTCAAGGAAAATCTAAGATCCAAAACACTACAAAATCGGAAGCACTCAAATCAGATTAATTTGGCCTCCACCAAGAATAAGCAGAATACAGTATCTAATATGCACTAAGGACTGAATAATTTTATCAAAACACAGTTTAGGGGAGGCACATACCTACAATCCCAGGAGAGGCTGAAGCAGGGGAATCACAAATTCAAAGACAGCCTGAGATGGGCGTGTGTGTGTGTGTGTGTGTGTGTGTGTGTGTGTGTGTGTGTGTGCGTGCGCGCATGCCCCCAAGTCTAAAATAAGAACAAGCAAAACTAAACAAAAAGCTCATAGGCTCATCCTCATCAGAAAATTCTGCCATGTCCAAGTGAAACAGAAGCTGTACCCCACCCTAGTACTAAATCTTCATTCCTCTGGAGCGTCATACTTCCTTAAGGATGTCCAGAAGCAACAGGAGAGGGGTTCTGTTTGTATTCAGCTAGTGCCATCCCAGATGGGTCTTTCCCTAAGAACAGCATCAGCCTGGACATGGAAGGGACAGACAGCTGTGTGACCCTTATGTACAAGCAGCTCTGTCACCTTCTATAATCATCATTTAAAATGCCCCAGGTAAGCAGAAATGAAGTTGGAACATGCCGTGTGCCAGTCTTCCAAGACAGCATACCTGTAACCGCTGAACCACACCTGCTCGCAGGTTTCCAAATCCATAGTGACACTGTGATTGCAGGGTACTTTCTGAGACCTCTTCATAGGGAGTCTGCTCAATTTCCCAGTCAAAGTCTTCATCCTCATCTTCAGCTCCTTCCTCAGAAACCCCAGAAGCACCTAAATGAGTTAAAGAGTAATTTTTGCTTAAAGTCCTGAGGTGTCTAGGTACAATGAGAGGAACAGGTTGCTACAGAAAAAATGCCTACATTTGTGCACCAAAGGCCCAGACAAGAATATTCAGCTTCATTGCTTGTGATGGCCAAAAAGTGGAACCAGCCAAATTATTCACCAACAGCAGGAGGTATATATAAGCTCACGAAATCATCTACCATACAGTGAGGAAAGTATACGGACTTCTGTTTTAACACAGATACACCTCATAAGAACACTGCGTATAAGAAGCCAGATGGAAAGGAATAATTGTGGGTGCCACTGGTGATCTAGGAAAGAACAGGGTTCACCTGAGAAGGGCATGGGCAGAGTTCCCAGGGCACTGGAAATAAGTAAACAATACAGTTCATGACCTAGCAAAAAATGTTCATATTATGTAACTTTTCAACTATGCATTTGGACAAGACAATGTTTTAACTGTTAAAGAAAAAATGTGACCGGTCTACTGGTCCACTATTGGTTATGCCTTTTAGCTATGACACCAGATAAGCTATTTTCACAGGACACTTGAACTTTTCCTTTTTATTTTCTTTACTTGAACGTTTTTCCTCTGATTTTCTATCCCATATCTCTTCTCCTAGAAACATAAAATAATACATTCCTATTTATCTTCATTTCCTCCCAACTACAGCAAACATACCTATTTCTTCCACAAGCGGTTTGGCCGACCTGGATTTTCTTGGGGCCAGAAGAGCAGTTAACATGTTCAGCCCCTCAAAATATTGGCCAGGAGTTTCCTTGAGCAATCGAATGGTAAAAATTCCTTTAAAAGAGATGGTTTTATACTTAGATTAAAATATTCAAAGACTTCATAATTACATAGAGAAATGCAAGTACAGGAAATATATAATTCTATGAAGAGACGCCCTTGTTCACTATGTAAGTATTGCCGTTCTAAGGGGAAAGACTTCCCAATGCAAGTGTTACGGCTCTTCAGAGAAAGGTATGTTGGCAGTTGGGAGCCAAAGAACACCATAAAGTCACAGGTACAACAAAGCTCAGATAGGAGATTTATTGGGAGGAAGAAAACCCAGGAGGGTGGCAACAGAGAACTGAGCAGAAGACAGGATTTATATAGCGTTTCTTAGAGGCTGGGAACAGAGCTTTCCAGGATGGCCTGAGATTGGAGGGACTGTGATCGTGGGGCAAACTCAGGAATTAGTTAGTGGTATTTTTTGTTTGTTTGTTTGTTTGTTTTTGGGGGGGGGGGCTTTTTCCCCTGTAGGGCAAAGCCTAGCCACTCTACCTCATCACCAGGGGCTGAGAGAGCCACTAACAGCCATTAGGGCAGTCTGAGAGGGTAGGGAGAAACTGACCTTGGGGTTCCTCAGGCAGGGGGCTTGGTTGCTCCTCTACCCTAAGGGGTCAGACCCAGCAGCCAGGGCAGTCAAATAGGTTTCCAGAAGTGGGGCTTCTACTACCCACATCAGGGAACGCCGTCCTGCAGCTTGAATTGGCGTGAACAGCCAACAAACTATACATCTGAAGAGAATGGATACCCAGAGCATGGAAAGAACTCAAAACACAAAACGCTCAGGCTGGGCTGGGACAAGGCTCAGTTGGTGGTGTTTCTCACACAACCATATGGATCTAAGCTTGAATTTCTCTATTCTACATATACAATAAGCTGAATACAATGTCAAATATCTATAATCCCAGCGCTGAAGAAGCGGAACAGGAGAACCCCTGGGGTTTGCTGGCCAAGCGGAAGCAGCAAGCTCCAGGTTCAGTCAAAGACCTTGACTTAAAACTTAGGTAGACTATAATAGAGGAAGACACCCAAAAAGTCAACCCTCTGGTCTACATCCACATGCATGTACACACGCAAATACATACTAGGTACAAACCACATGTACATATACATACACACAAAAGACAACCAACCCAACCAAATGGCAAACCCATGAAAAAAATGTTCAGCGTCCTTAGCCAAAAAGGAAATGCAAAATAAAACTACACTGAGATTCCACCTCAGCTCAGTCAGAGGGTCTCTTACAAAGAAAACACAACAGCAAATGCTGGTAAGGATGCAGAAAAAAGTGAGCCCTTATAACACTGCTAGTGGGAATATAAACTCATCTTATCACCTTAGAAGTCAGTAAGGACACGCCCCGGAATACTAAAAGCACAAATGCCATATGATCTAGCTACCACTCCTAAGTGCGTATCTAAGGAGTCCAACTTGTCATACCACAGAGACACCTGCACATCTCTATTTCCTGCAGCACAGTCACAACAGCCAAGTTTATGGACTCAGTCTAGGTGTCTACCAACCGATAAGGAAAGCACGCACCTACACGATGGACTTTTACTCAGTCATAAAAACAATGATGTCATTTGCAAGAAAATGGATGTAACTGGAGATCATATTAAGCAACATAAGCCAGACTCAGAAGGACAAATACGCTTTGTCTCATTTGTGAAACGGAGTCTTTTTATAGGTGCATAGACAAAGAGATAGATAGATACACAGATAGATAGATGATAGTCACACATATCTCTGTGTGTATGTGTGTGTGTATGAATATGCCCTTGTGTATTAGACATGGAAGCATAGGAAAACTAGGAAAAAAGGGAGAAAAGAAAGAGTTCAGAGTAGTGAATATATGATAAAAAATTTTCATGAAACCTAACACCATCTGCAATGAATACACACCAACAAAACATTTTTAACTATTAAAAAAAAACATAATTCCTCATGGGGTTCCAAGATTTTGCCCTTACAATAGATTTAGTGACAGTAAATCAAGGCAGAAAAAGTTTTAAAAGGGGCTTTTCCCAAGTTGTCACTTCTATCAGAAAGTAATGTGTCCAAACCACAGAATGCTTTAAGTATTACCTAATACCATCTTACCTAGTCAAAATATCAAAACTCAGACAATTTTTAAAATCCAGCAGCCTGAGGAGGCATCAGCACTGACCAACAGTTATTTACAAATATATTTCTGGACCATGGAAGAAATCAGCTTAGCTACCAAAGAATAGATTTGAAACTACACTAAAGCAATTACAGTTTAATAATTTCCTTAAGAACTCAAGAGAGTTTTCTTTCTTTCTTTTTCTTTCTTTCTTTCTTTCTTTCTTTCTTTCTTTCTTTCTTTCTTTGTTTCTTTCTCTCTCTTTCTCTCTCTCTCTCTTCTTTTTTGAGACAGCTTTGCTATGTAGCCCTGGCTGGCCTCAAACTCACATGAAATCAAGTCACTGTCTTAAGCTCCACCAGGAATACTAGGATGTCCTCCCATTTCCAGCCCATTTAAACATTTTACCTCTTTCATCACACTGACATGCAACCCCATATATCAAAAACAACTCAACCCAGACATCCCCACATATACATCTCCTCAACTCTAAGTACTTTACAGTTTTATTTTTTTAAGGTTTATTTTTTGCCAGGTGATGGTGGCACACGCCTTTATCCCAGCACTCAAGAGGCAGAGGCACACATCTCTGAGTTTGAGGCCAGCCTGGTCTACAGAGTGAGTTCCAGGATAGCCAGGGCTACACAGAGAAACTTTGTCTTGAAAACAAACAAACAAATAAAAAAAGGTTTATTTTTTTAAATTATGTGCACATGAGTACAAGTGCCTGTGGAAGCCACAAGAGGGTGTCAGATTCCCTAGAACCTCTGTGTACTGCAAACAAAAACTTTGGTCCTCTGAAAAAGCAATACATGCTACAGGCTCTTAACAGCTGAGCTATCTCTCCAGCCATAAAGTGATTGAGAACTTAATGATGTTTCTTTAGTCTCATTCTTCCTCCTTTACCCTACTTCACTGGTCAATAGTTACTGAATAAATTACATAAGAGAACACAAGCTACTCTTTTTCTATTAAAAAAATTACTACTATGCAAGCATGGGGTGAGAGTGTGCTAAGGCTCATGCATGGCATTCAGAACATAGCTCTGTGGAGTCAGTTTTCTCCTTTACCTTCAAATGGGTTCTGGAAACCAAACTCAGGTTGCCAGGTTTGCTAGACAAGCACCTTTGCCCACTGAGCTACCTTGCTGACCCCCACAGCTACTCTTATTCCAAACGAACAGAGAAAAGACAGTAGCTTATAGAAGAGTGAAATACATGGGTTTTGTGGCTAGCTAAAATCGGAGCTTGTCAATCATGAAAAGAAAAATCCAGTTACTCTTTAAATTTTTCCCATGGATAACTTCTCATCTACCTGTTATTGAAATTCAAGTTTAAAAACTGTATAAGAAAAATCAATTCAAAAGCTTATAAATCATCCTACATTTTAAAAATCAATTATTTCATGTTGATGTTTACTTTTAAACATGTGCTAAAGGTAGAAACAATTCCAGAAATTGGAACTAGAACATTTGATTCAAATTTACTTTAAAGATTATTGCAAAATACTTTAAAAGACTAAGAAAACTGCTCCCTGCCAAAAACCCATAGATAACTGGCACTAAACATTAAAGAAAGAGTTATACACCATATGGCAATTGCTAGACATCTGAAAGTCCCTATGGTATCTTTATAGACTGCTACTACGTGGGTACCATAACATAAGGAATCCATAAAACCCCATCCAAGACTAGGCCTATGGCTCAGCCAGTAAAGCTTTTGTCTCACAGGCAGGAGGGCCTGAGTTTGACTCCCAGAACCCAGATAAAAACATAAAGTGTAATGGTGCATTTTTGTAATCCAAGAGCTGGGGAGGCAGAGACAAGAGTATTGTTAGGGCTCACTGCCCAGCCAGTCTAGCCACAAATGAAACACCCTGTCTCAAAAGCATTCCTCAAGATTGTCCTCTGGCCTCCATTTGCACAGGCACACACACATGAACCCCCCCCCACACACACACACACATACCACTCAACACAACTACATATGCAGTTGTACAATACTGTCCTTGGAATCAAGCTACCACCATCTTCAGCTCTACAGGGCCTGCTCACAAAAGGTCATCACAGAAAGAGCAGGTCTTGGGACCCTCACCTTATTATCCATCCACCACCACCCCCAATGACTGTGTAACACAATTCTGCCCCATGTGGTCTTGGAGGTAAAGGATGGCTACATACCGGCTAGGCTGAAGGGAGAGTTCAATCTATGCAGCCCTGGGGAAGCTACTTTAAGATCTCCTTTGCTCCTGCCCAGAATCCTTACGCACTACTCTGTGAACTAAATAAACTGTGGGAGAATCACATCTAGTTTGTCAGTGGGACCTAGAAGAGGTAGAATGTCCCTCCTAGGGAAAGAATTTTAGCAGCATCTGCATGCATACACACACACACACATAAACACACACACACACACACACACACACACACACACACACATTCAAAATCCCAAACTATACCTTTATCTGCATCGTAGGATCCCTGCTCAGTTCCAGTTTCTACAATCCTTCCAGGAAGTGTTAGTCTGCAGATTTAATAGAAGATAAGTTGCTCAGCAATCACAGTGTATTTTTAGCCATCAAAATGATCAACCATTGGAAATGCAATTTTTCAGTACTTCTTTCACATTTTACAAGCTAAATAACTTAGATCCCTCTTCTACTAAGAAAGTAAAAATCAATGATGACTCATCTTTCCATTTGAATGCTTTATCTACCAATAAAATAGACTGGAAAAGCAAAACTCACAATAAACCTTAGTTATCAAATGCCATTATGTTTGTTCTGTTTTATTTTTTAACTTTACAAATTAAATTTCATCTTAGGTTTATAGGTATAGGAAAAATAGTGTACAGAGAGTACATTACTATACATGATGAGATAGTTATCAGATGAGATATCAGAGATCCACTGAGGAATCTTGGAAATAGCTCCCATAAGTAGGGGTGACCTACTAGATTTTCGACTTGGCATGCTAATTAAGATCTTATGTGGTTCCCCCAGGAGCAATAAAGAAACCAGATTGACTGCAGGGAAAGGATCAGTTGAAAATGGGAGAGCAACTGGTAAGCAAATTTGGAAAAGGGCTCTCAGCGTCCAGCGCACAAGGGGCTAATAGTTCTGCCTAACTCCAAGTATGGCTATCAAAATTAAGATGACGCCCATGTGGTAGCAGCTTGCCTACCACACTGAAGGTGGCCAGTGTCAGCTGCCACTAGTGTTTTGGTTCAACACGGAGAAAAATCTAGACGGGTAAGTGCTCGCAGCCAGGCAGAACTGGCGACCTGAGAACCACAGGAAGCAGAGGGCATGCAGGCGAGAATCACAGAACCGAGCCACGCAGGGAAGTCGCCGCGTAAGGATGGCAGGTGCGAGCATGCTGCGAAAGAACAGCACAAGTCAGGAGGGATCAAGAGCGAGGGTGACAGACACCGGGTGGGTGGCCCCGCGCTCGGTGACGGGATCCACGGGCGCGGCAGGAGGCGATTCCGCCCAGGCAGCAGCGAGAGAGCGGTGTGCCCGCGAGGCGCGGATGAAATCGCGAGCGCGCAGGCAGCGGGAACTCGCCTCAGAAAGTACGGCTTGGCATAGAACTTGAAGTCCACCCCTTCGAAGTAAACGTCAAACTCGGAGATGCGCGCGTGGGGCACGCGGATGGCAATCGTGAGGGACTCGGGGTCCTGGCTCAGCTCGAACGCCGGAGTCAGCATCGTTCCTGCGCGCACCTGAGGCCACCACAGGCCCGCTACGTACACGCCAGGTCCCAACGCGCCAGACCCACGCTGTCGGCTTCAGCGCTTCCGGGACTAGGCGGAAATGGGTGCGGTGGGACCGGAAGTCCCGCCCCGCACCAGTCTCCTTGGAGACAGGACGCTTTGGCTGGCTAGATGAAGTTTTCAAACTTACGGGGGGGTGGGGGGGGGGGGAATGCCATGGAGCCAGGCTTGTTAGGAAATTTCAACTGAGGAAAATTTTTCGAAGAACTGGAACTCTAACCTGGAAATTTTCGGACTAACCGGAACACCAATTCACTTTAGACTCCTTAAGCATCTACGGAGAGGCTTAGAAATTATTTTAATTGCCTTATTTTCTTTTAAAAGTCAACAAAGTGTGTTTGAGTCTCGGTGCGAGTATTTTCCATACAAAGCTCCTCTATACTTTAGACGTCTCTACTGTTATAGGAGGGTAATATTAGTCCTGCTTTCTCAGATGCTATGATGATAGCATGGTATTATCCATTAGGACTGCTGTTCCCTTCAAGTTGTCAGCTCTCAGCAAATAGAAGCAGGTTCTGAAGTAGCCACAGCAAAGTCCCTCCAAGGTTTCCTTCAGTTCTCACCTGTAATGCCAAAACAAACGAACAACAAACACACAAACTGCCCCTAGTCTCCTCTCCTTCCCCCTCCCTCAGCTTCCTCTCCCCTTCTTAATTCCTTCTTTGAATAGTTTTGCCACTAGCAGAGCACAGATTCTCTAATCTAACCCACACCACGAATTCCAAGGAAAAGTGGGCTGAGAGAGGTTAAACAGGATCAGAATCCAGATACCTTGTCAGCGACCACTCTGAAAAATTGTGCTTCCTTTTTATCTCGTTTCATTTTTCCCTTTCTAATTTCTTGCTTTTATCTCCTTTTTCTTTACTTATCTTTTTATCCTTTTTAGTTCCTCTGCGATCCTCACTCTCCCAATGCCTTTCCCCCTAGTCTTCCTCTTTCCCTGCATATTCATTTAAACTCCCCCCCCCCCCCATTTCTTTTTACTTCCAGGAACTAGCACAGTCCAAGTCTAGTATTTTGGCTAGTTTTATGTTAACTTGATGTAGGCTAAAGTCATTTGAGAGGAGGAAAGCTCATTAAGAAAATGTCTCCATAAGACTGGGCTCTAGGCAGGCCTGTGGGCCTTTTCTTAATTAGTGGTTGATAGGTGAGAACTTAGCCCTTTGTGGGTAGCACCATCTCTGGCCCGGTGGTCCTGGGTTCTAGTAAAAAGCAGGCTGAGCAAGCCATGAGGAGCAAGCCAGTGAACAGCACTCCTCCACGGCCTCTGCATCAGCGCCTGCCTTCAGGTTCCTCCCTATTTGAGTTTCTGTCCTGATTTTCTTCGACGAAGAACAGTGATGTGAAAGTGTAAGCCAAATAAACCCTCTCCTTCACAAATTCCTTTAGTCATAGTGTGTCATCATAGCAGTAGTAACCCTAACTAAGACAAGTATGAGTTCCCTGTCAGTGCACTAGCTGGGCTCAAAGGCTTACACCTGTCATCTCAGCACACACAAGAGACAGAGGCAGGAGGATTGTGCACATTTTAGACTGGCCTCATCTATGCAATGAGTTCCAGGCCAGTCTAGATGTGGTAGTTTGCTTTCTATTGTAATAAAGACCATGGCCAGAAGTTACATGGGAAGGAAAGGGCTTATTTAGCTTACACTTCCAGGTCACAGTGCATCATCCAAGGCAGCCAAGGTAGAAGCTTGAGGTGGGAAATGAAGCAGGGACAGTGGAGAAACGCTGCTTTCTTGCTTGCTCACCTTGCTCTTTCATACAAGCCAGGAGCAATGCCCAGGAGTAGCACTACCCAAGTATGCTGGACCTTCCCTCCTGAATCAGTAATCAAGAAAAAGCCCCCCAAACAGGCCAATCTGATAGACATTTTCTTAATTGAGGTCCCCTCTTCCCATATGACCCCCAACTTGTACCAAGTTAGTAAAAGAAACAACCAGCACTCTGGGCTACATAGTGAATCCCTGTCTCAAGAGAACACTAATGAGAACGAAAACAAACAGTAAATATTAGTAGAAAGAGCTTAAAGCCATTTCCTATGACAGTAAAGATCCCCAGACAGCTACAAATGCCTTCTTGACATCCATGGTTCTAAGGAAACAATCTTGACATTTAATTGGGACTCAGAAAAAAAAAAAAAAAAAAGGTTAGCAATTCCTTCCCCCAACACACACACATTAGTCGGTTTCCAGACTATGTAGCAGAACTGCAGTGACCTTGTTCTGATTCTGCCTTTTCCTTCCTGGCAGCTCTATGAAGAAGCCATTTATATTCTGTTTACTTGCACAGGGTCATGCAATTTGTCAGTGGCTCAGTGGGAATTGGAACCAAGGTTATTCTCATTTCTAGGTCCAGGCTCCAAACCACTGAAGAGCTACAGCCTCGAATATTACCTGCTACATCTTAGTTTCACAGCCAAAGGCCTGCCTGCTTTACACCAAACGAATCCTTAAAGGTAATAGATAGTCAATTCTGACAATGAATTGATGCCAATCTGGAATTAGTAAAGCCCTTAAAAGATTCCCCTGAGATGGCCTCTGGCCAATTACTCCAAACTCACTTCCCTAGAAAGAATCTTTATATCTACCATGGGACCTCATTCCTGTAGGTCACAAGCATTAATATTTTTAATTATTAATGCCAGGGAATTAAATGAAACAAGCTATGCTATCCACAATGAAATTCTAACTTTAAACACCTGGCAGTTTGAGTTGTACTTTTCCTAGGTACTTGATTATATATACTTGGCAAATAGACACACACACACACACACACACACACACACACACACACCTCAGAGAGAGAGAGAGAGAGAACTGGAATACACACAGAAAAACAGGCTGTATGGTTCATTGCTGCTGTTCCTCAATAGGGATTTGCACTATATCTGCTGTCTCTCAAAAATGCTTATAGTTACAATTATATAATGGAGTTTGTCATGTGGGAAAGAAGAGGAGTTAGATTTTTTCCCTTTCTAAATAGTTGGCTTTATTTTTAATTTTAATTTTATTTTATGTATCTAGAATATGCTTTACCCGAATATCTCTCTGCACCACCTGCACGCCTGCTGCCTGTGGAAGCCAAAGGAGGGCACCAGGATCCTCTGGAGCTGGATTTACAGACAGTTGTAAGTCACCATGTGGGTGCTGGGAATTGAACCCAGTTCCTCTGGAAGAGCAGCGGGTGCTCTTAACTGCTGAGCTGTCTTTCCAGTTTCCAGTTCACTTTATTTTTGCATTTATTATTAGTGCTAAGTTACACAAATTATACATCTATTTCCCTTTTAAAGTGTAAAGTTCTGTTTTAGCTGACATACAGCTTTTACTCTCTCTCCTTCTCCAAAGGCGGTTCTTCTACCTACCTTTGCAGGCTCTTCCATATCTCTTCAGACTTTTCCTTGCATGCCATGAACTTGTGTTTAGATCTATTTCATAAGTTTCCCTTACTGAGGACAAGTTTCCCTATACTGGGGTATACAGCCTGTCCTCTTTGATTACATGAAATTTTTCCCTCTTGTAGTAAACAAAAAAAAAAAAAAAAAAGATTGGGACTCATGAGTTTCAAAATTAAACATTAAATTTAAAAGACAATTTTTTCTCCCAAATATGTTATTTATTTATCTCATTAATAGATAGTTTTCTCACATAATATGTCCTGATTACAGTTGTTTTCCCTTCCCACTCCTCCCAGTTCCTCCCCTTCTTTCCTCCTACCTGAATTCACATTCACTCCCTTTCTGTCTCTCATTAGAAAAGAACAGGCTTCTAAGAGACAGGAATAAAATATAGCAAAATAAAATAGAACAAGGTAGGGCAAAAACTGTTACACTGGAGTTGGACAAGACAAGCCAACAGAAGGGAAAGAGCCCAGGAGGAGAAACAATAATCTGAGACCCTCTGGTTTGCACACTCAGGAATCCCATTAAAACACTAAACTGGAAGCCATAGTGTATTTGAAGAGGGCTTGGCACAGATCGCACATCTTCCATGTATGCTGCTTCAGTCTCTGAGTTCATATGAGCTTTGCTCCTCTTGATTTAGAGAGCCTGGGTTTTTTTGGTGTCCTCCTTCCCCTCTGGCTCTTACAGTCTTTCTGCCTCCTCTTTCACGGGTTTCCTGAGCTTTGAGGGGAGGTATTTTATGGAGACCTCCCATTTAGGGCTGAGTATTCCAAAAAGACAAGTTTTTAAATACGCAACTCTGGCTGTGCGGTCTCTTAATGGTGAAGTACCGCTTGTCTCCAGAAGGTGGCGATCACCTAGGCTATTAAAACAACGCTAACTAAGAGCATGTTGCAACCTTTGAGTGAAAAGCAGACGAGGCTCGGGTCCTGTTCCCTGTCTTCTCCTGCTTCTGATCTTTGAAAGACTCTACTGATCGAGGTATTCAAGCAGAGCCAAACTTTGAGCAGAGTGCAGGGAATGTTATGTAAGAAGGGGGAGATAGAAAGACCTGGAGGGGACAGGAGCTCCAAAATGAGATCAACAGAGCCAAAAACAAAACAAAACAAAACAAAACAAAACACAAAAACCTGGGCCCTGGGGGCTCTGAAGAGAATGATACCGCAACCAAGTACAATGCATGGAGAGGACCTAAAACCCCAGCTCAGATGTAGCCCATAGACTCAGTCTCCAAGTGGGATCCCTAATAAGGGGAGCAGGGGCTTTATCTAGAGTAAACTCAGTGGCAGGCTCTCTGATCACTGCCCCTGCCCCCCGGGGTGTGGGGAACCTTGCCAGGCAACAAAGAAAGACAATGCAACGAGCCCTGATGAGACCTGATAGGCTAGGGTCAGGTAGAAGGGGAGAAGGTTCTCCCCTATCAGTGGACTGGGGGAGGGGTAAGAAGAGGGAGGGAGGGAGGGTAGGATTAGGAGGGGACGAGGATAAAAATTGAATAAATTGTAATAAATGATGATAATAAGAAGAAAAAAGAAAAGCAGATAAGGCTGCTATATACCTCTAGATCATTCTCTGAGTTATTTGGGGGAGGTAGTAGTCTCCTG